TAACCCTATGCTAACCCATAGAAACGCATGTTAAAGCGTCCTAACGTTAATTCTATGAGAGTTTCTCTATGTTAAAGTAAAGCCATAGGATTAACATGGTATCCCATGTTAAATCCCATAGGGTGGGGGAGGGGCAGAACGATTTTATAAACCACATTTTTCATAAATGAATTGTGGTTAAAAAAAACTAACAAGAAGTAAGAATTCTTATATTGAATGTTCACTGTATATGTTTTGTTTTTTATTGGACTCAATGAAAGTTTTATATATTATTTATATATTTCATGTGATATACGGTATATAAACAGAAATACTTCTAAGAAAATGTTGACACAAAAAATAGGTTTTATTTGTAATTGAGTCCAAAAAATTGAATCGACATTTTATGAGAACACATAATCAGATACTAATAATAATTAGATTTTTAACAAAAGTTTTTATTTTACTCCATATATTGCAATGTATTTTAGGTATATAAAAATCTATATTACTTTTATTAGTAGTGTAACGAAATTACCAGTTTTCATCTCTCGTGTGAATACAAATTGTGCCGTTTTATTAGGAAATTCACAAAAAATAAGTTGAAATATAAATGGCATATATTTCACAAATAAAAACTTTTCACACAAATTATCGTTATATTCAATTCATTTTCATCCTTACAGTTATCTATAAATCAATTTCTGTTGGAAATTAATTTTCACACAAAAACAGCTATAATTTTATTTTTCATTTCCAATTGAATATCACTTTTTTCTCGCTTTACAAGAATGAGAAAAGAGTGAAAATAAATTTTATTATTGTATTAAATTTTCAAAATTCTTTGGGTGTTATAACAGAAAAATAGTTGAGACCTTTCAATGCATACTCAGAGATTCTGTACCAAATCTAATGCCTTATTATAATAATATAATTTTAAAAAGAAATGAATGACAGAATAATCAGTTGAAAACCGGCGATAGAGAGAGAGAAAGAGAGAGAGAGAGAGAGAGAGAGAGAGAGAAGAAAAAGTGTATTTAATGAAAGATAAGTTGAAAATATAGTTCATTGAGTTATCCATTTGTATAAGTATTAAAACACTTGTATTCGTGCGTTCAGACAATTTGAGGCCAAAAATAAGTGCATATAATCATAAAAATCATAAAAAACAATAACAGCTGCAAAAATCTGAAGCAAAATAAAAGAGATTTAAACTAAAAATTTATATATAAAACAAATACATAGAAAATATAATCGACAGAAACTAACACAAGCACTACATCAGTGAATGTTCAGTGAATATAACATATAAAATAAAGTGTAATAAAATGAGTGAATGAGTGAAAGCATTCAAAAGCATTCAATTCTGATTTTTACGAACAGATAATAATGTTTTTCATCGCAGAAAACAGTATATAATATAAGTTAATACATATTAGTGTAGAGAAAATTATGCTATTTTCGGAGCTAATTCAATGATCGCATGAGTTTTACAAACTTGTCATTATTTACATCATTATTATGATTACTATTATTGTCATATCATTTAAGAGCGCAAATTTTTCATAACCTATTATGAGTTGTATTTCGTTGTTGTTGTTAATGCTGTGTATTTAAGTTAATATATCGGGATTTTGGCTGTTTTTATATCATATAAATAATGTGGTGAATGTTGTGCTGAGAATCAATTTCCGAAATTCTTGCACCGATCCGTTCATCGCTTCCACACATATACCGTATATACAGAGTATAGGGTATAATATACATGATATATATATTGAATATATCGATGACTTCATTCAATCACTGGTGTGCCCTAAACCATGCATTACAGGCCCCGTTAAATCAGTTGCCAACGACTGACCCCTATATGTAGAGTTTGACTGAGAACTCGCGGATCATCTATTTTCCTGACAGACCATCCAATATCACCAACTCTTATAATATATGAGTCTATTCTTTGGCTTTTCTTTTGCCATCGCATTCACTGTATAGTTGTTTGGATATACCCTTTGCTCTGCGCTTATGTCTTGTCATGTCTAGGCTTTGCTTGGGATCTGATTTTACAATATAAACGAATCAAATGTATATTTTATATACAATACAATACGAGTGATAAAGTATTTCAAGTGATATAACGATACGATCGAAACGAATCATTTCTCAGCAAATAAGTAGGTTTTTGTGTGGATTTTCTAAGACTTAGAGATATCTTTTAATTGTAAAGCCATGAAACACATGCCATAAAAACAAAGTATAAAATAAAATGATATTGCTGGGATAACCAAGCATTCTCATACCTTTAAATAACATTGTTATAAAATACACGATTTAATGATTAAAATTTTTTTGGTTGATTTGCTTTCAAACATACTCTTTATTATTGAATTACAAATCTTGTCATTTGCTATGTTTTAAACAAACGGCTATTTATAGCACACAATAAGTCGGACTATCCTTGAAATCAAAGATTATTAGTGAAGATTTGAGTGAAATAATCTGTTTAAGAGTATCCTTAAGAGTATTACTTTTTTGCCTTCAATTTCCTTATGTAAGAGAAAATGTATTTTATTTTTTCTCGACACAAAAAATTGTCACTTCTGTGAACACATAACTAGGAGTCAAAACTGTTGTTAAATTACATTCCCTTTTGGCCTACTTTGTAGAGATGGCATCTTCTCATAACTCAAGAGTTGCTTAAGAATTATATATAAAAAGTATAGTTTAGTGTGTAATACAAGTCTTGGATAATACTTTGCTTAATATGTATGTTTGCATCGATTTTATTAGTTATACTTAAGTGTTTATATATTAATTAATTTGAAATACGCTTTAATACCAGAGAATTATTGATTTTTATTATACAAATAATGTTCACTTAAATCTCAAAAGATTTGCTAGAATTCATTTATAGCAATGATTTATCTGACTTTCCAAAGAATCCATTGTAATCGCATTGCATTAATATTATAAGTATTGAATTTATATAATTTTCAAAATATAATTCATATGTCGAGCGAATATGTGATGTATTATCTCAATGGCATGAACTGTATATCTGTGTCTGTCTATAGCACTGGAATCTCAATCCCTTTTGGATGCGAGGGCTGAGCGCCGACGCCGTCCTCCGATTCAATTGAAATGCTGTGCGAAAGACATTTCACATCATCTCTTCTGTCGAGTATCTGTACTCTTGTGTTCAGTTTGTGTTTCGTTTCAATTTTAAGGCCTGCGATCTCCGCTGACTTACCATTCATATAGCGATTTGCAGCCGAAGAGCACAACTATTATTAAATAATATTCTCATCCATTCTCTTATACTTTCACCAATTCATTAGACTCTGTGCGCAGACATTCATATATTGATATCAAGAATTTTTATACAGTATAATACTTTTTCTTGATTTTCTTCGTTATTTGTTGCTATTTCTATAAGAGTTTGGTTTTGTGCCAAATATTTCCAAAAAACGGTATTTGAAAAATAAATTTGTCGGATGAGACGACTCAACAAATCTATTTCATATAATAACTCCGGTTTTTCATACTTTTGTTGATAGTGTTTGTATACATTATTGTGACTTAAAATTCTTTCTCAAATTCATATGTAATATAATAATAACCGCAATAATATAGATAATAACAAATTCTCAATTTACCCGTTATTTAATTGTGAAAATGTTTGCTTAATTTACAATAAATATCTCATGGAAAATATTGATCGTAAAATTGTGTGCATTTATATGTAAAAACAACTTTTTAAATACTTGTGTGTCATTTACAGTGCTTTTGTGTATAAAATACAAGAATTAAAGAAAATGTTTCTTTTTCTGTTTGTATGATAAATAAAGAAATATATAATATAAGAAATATATTGTATAGACTGTGTGTTCATCTCTTTCTACTATAAATATAATGTAAGTAAAAGTAAATTCAAAATAAAGAACAGAAGTTTTTGTATATAAAAAGTTTATCTCTTGACGAACACAACAAAGTATTTGCATTTTAGTTCAATTTGTGTTTGGGTTCGCTTTACTCCCAATTGGATTCTCTGTTAGTGTTCATCATTGTTATCGACTAAATCTTTATTCAATTGTTTCCATCTCTCTCTCTCTCTCTCTCTCTCTTTCTCTCTTTCTCTCTCTCTCTCTCATTCCTTGTCTTCTCATTCGGATATCTAAACAAAAAATAAAACAAAACTCAAAATAGAGTGAATATTTAAAGCCGTATTCATTAAATACAAAACATCAAAACATCCTCAGACATCAAATCAAATATCAAATTATTTATTGATTTTATTCGCGAATTAAGTGATCTATCAGTCAATTAGAGTACAAAAAAAAGACATTAATATACTCTTAACAAAAAACACGAGATGAAAAGGAGTAATACGTTTTGAACAATTGCTTTAAAATTATTTTCATTCATTGAATGGATTATAGCATAACATAAAGAACTCCTTTATTTAATGTGTAGATTGTATGCAGAGGTGAGGCATCTCTTTATCTCTCTATTATCTAAATAGAAATTATGGCATTTGATTATAAACACTGAATAAACTAAAAGTTTTTCATTAAGTTTGTGTTAAAATAGATGTTTTACAGTAGTTGTCACACAATCTAATTGTCATTATTGAGAGGCTCTCATGTGTAATATATTTAGGGACTCAAAATATAACTTTTATTTTTGTTGTTACTTTCAGTCAAATTCAATGACTGTATGCCTGAAAGCTGTGACAACTATTAGAGCTCAAGAATTTAATCTTTCCTTTACTTTAGTTCCTCTCAGACGTACACTATATCCACACAAATCACTTCATTTCGTGCAATCATTTCAATAGCCATCGCAATACTCATTCCGATTGTGACTCTCATTATGTTTTATATGCCTTTTCTCTTCTTTTTGCATTCAGTTTGCATTTCACATCAAATATTGTTTGAAACGTTATATAATATTATTTAGTATTGTATTTACTTTTGCTGTTTTTGTGTGAAAAGTAATATTTATTACATCTGTTGTAATGCATGGGTTATAGCGAAAGACAAAGTAGACATTTATTGCCAGTATATCCGTCTCTAAATGCATTGTCAGCGCGTGTCTGACGTTATGCTTGCCATCAGTGCCGACGTTTTCAACGCCAGCCAATTGTTATGATATATATATTCAACACAATCACAGAATCACAGAATCCAGTCATCAAAAAACGATGCGATTCTTGTTTCACATTTCATAAACCCATATATTTGTAAACTCCCGTAAATCCATGTATTTTCATAGATTTAACACAAATTCTGTTACACAATATATACAGAATTTATCAGTTTTGAAGGAATTGTCGCCATTTTGCACTAAAACCCAACGATTGCAATATTGGTTACCCCTAATAGTGTGCATGTGTTTAGTAAATATAGTCAAAGACCAAATTTAGACCAACATTTTGTATCGCGTGACACATAATGCAAATGCTTTTTGAAAGCAATCGTTGTTCACATACTGTTCACAGCAATGGCACAACATTTTTGTTCACCGGCGCTAACACTCACTTACATTGACTTTACTATTTCATTGAGTAGTCGGTGTCAAAGAGAGCATAAAATACTATGACTTCTTCGACATAAGTAAGACTCGGCGAGAGAGAGAGAGAGAGAGAGAGAGAGAGAGAGAGAAGCATTGAAGCGAATAATCTTTTTAAATGTCTTTCTCAGTGCGAAAATGTGTGAAATGTGCGAATCGTTCAAATAATTTGTATTTGCCTTTTGTTTAATATCTCAACAATTGTTATCAAATGCCGAAAAGACACACAACAACTAAAAAAGATTATTGTGTGAAAACATCCAATGAATTGAAGGCAGAGTCAGCAGCTCTGGTGGCAAATTCAACGACAATTTATTTATTACTACAACTCCTATTGAATCCACTATTTATTTTACAACCGTTTTTTTTTTGCTTTTATTTATTATTTACTTAAATATACACAAAATATTGTTTCAAACGTAATATTATTGTGAGAGACAACACAAAATAAGAAGAGCCTTATATTTCATCATTTTTGACACATTCTCTCTCTCTCTCTCTCTCTCTCTCTCTCTCTCTCTTGTATAATCCATATGTGAACTCAAAACAAACTATATTTAAATGTCACGATAATATTGAAATTGTTGTGCAGACAATATCTCTGCCAATGTTTTGCAACTCAAGAATAGCAGAGAAATGGTTACATCATTTGAGTCTCCCTTTCCTCTTATATATCTTCAACACATATTCAAACACTGTTTTACTCTTTCATATATTTTTATCACAACATCGGGTGAGAGAAAGGAAGGCATTAATTTGAGAGATACCTAACATTTGGTTAGTCTCTGGCATTTGATTTGTTTGAATAGAAACTCATATGTTTTGCCACAAAACCATCGAAATGTTAGAATGAATTTTATGTCTTTAAAAATTTAGATCATTTTTTGAATCACAATCTTTTATCTCTGGTTTATGTGTGAGAGAGATATTATTTGCATATAAAATAGCATTTGAATTATAGCTTTGAAGACAAAAATTATATAAAGCAAAAACTAAATATCAAATACAGCGTCAGTTTGGAGTTTTATAACTAAAAAATAGCAAAAATATATATATAATGTAATAAAGAATTTGTTGAGCTTTTGATTGAATTTTTAATATAAAGTATTATATGAATAGAGAATAAGCAGTCTTTTTATTATATAATTAAAACGAAAACCGAAACCCAAATGTATTGAAAATAAATATATTTATAGAAAAGGCTAATAAATTTTTATATGTTTTCATAATCTAATGCCAGACAATAGAATAAATAAGCATTTATTTGGTATAATTTTGATCACATGCTGTATAACCTATGGTATAGTGAGAGCCAATACAGTTCCCATTCTTCACAGTATACTGAAGTCCGTGTTGTCTAAAGTGAACCACTATTTTATCATTTGAAGGCAACTATTCTTTTGGTTTAGTACTTATTGTTGTATTGGATGGCAGTGTAATGCTCTTGTGAGCTCTCTCTCTCTCTCTCTCTCTCACTAAATATCAAATAACATTTGTGTGTTTGGATTCAGAGGAGCGCTGGATCTTAATGGTTGGGTGCAGTTGTGACGAGACTACCAACAATTTCCAGCATCTTATCCATTGGCCTCTGTTTTATACTCTTTGGCCATTCAAGAGCACAACCATATTGTTTGTGAATTTGTATCCATTCTAGTCTTGTATTTGTATAACTTTTATGGCTTACAATAATCAAAAGAATTGTAGTAATCGTAGAGAAAATAATGGCTTTTCTCTCTAAAAACAATCAAAACCAATGAAACCAATGAAAGAATTAAATACTAGTCTTATTTAGTTCGACAGACTTTTTCATTTATTGCCAGTTTTTTTTGGTATAACTTTTTACCCTCTCTCTCCCTCTTCCTCTTGTGTTTGCTTTGATTTTTTAAACTATATTTTTATACAATAATCGATAAAAAATAATACAATTTTTGTTGTGTGTAAAGAAATTCAATTCAGTTGCCATATAATAGTTTGTCAATTGTTTTATTTGTTTGCTTTAGACAAGAAAAAAGACATCTTTTGTTTTCTTATACAATGAGTAAAAGTTTTATTCGTTTTCATTGCATTCCTTAATAGATTGGCTAAAACTGGAGTCAAAACGTAAAGTGCTATACGAGTGGACGTATTTAATTCAATAGCCGGGGTGTCTGTGCTATATCTGTCTGTCCAGTGCTAATCATCTGTTTGTAATAATGTCTAAATTTACAATCAAATTGATTCAAGTCAATAGGACTGCTGTTGTGATACCAGTGCTGTTAATGGTTTGTTTTGTTACGTTAACAACATTTGCAAATTTAACGCCAGAGAGAAGATTAAGCTCACGAGTCGTTAGGACTAAATACGGCGGACTTCGGGGCTCTATTGTCACACTTCCTAATAAAAACCTACAGCCGGTCGAAGTGTTTTTGGGTATGTTTTACATCTGTTTTACAACTTATACATTACCGCTAAACTAATTAAATGTTTTCATACCATTACTGCCCATAAAAACCCAAACAGTATTATAGTATTTTCATTACACAATACCTATTATATTAATAGTGTAATAATATTTTGTTCGCTGAATATCATTTTGATGTTATATTTTATTTAACTCTTTAATTAGTTTTACACAAACAGAGTATTGAATGAAAAAAAATTTATATGTATTTAAATCTCTTTAAGGCATTCCGTATGCATCGCCACCGACTGGTATGTAATCTGTTTTATAACTTTAATTTCAATTAATCTTATTTTTATTAAGTCGTGTCTCGTCTCACTCTCTCTAAACATGATAACTATTTTCGGTATGTTTTGTAATAACAGGCAAATTGCGTTTCATGCCTCCGGTGACACCGGCCATCTGGTCCGGCACTCGCAGTGCACACACATTAGGCTCTGTTTGTCCGCAAAAATTAATTAATATAAGCAATGAAACGGAATCTCTGAAGACTATGACAACGGGTCGACTCAATATATTGAAGCGCTTATTACCAGCGCTTCACAACCAAAGCGAAGACTGTCTGTATCTCAATATCTATGCGCCGGCAAACGGTAAGACATATACATATCTACCACTCATTTCATACGCTATGACTGTCTTTATATGTCACCAAATAAAGTGCTCACGACTTATGTATACCAATACTTAAACACCACGTCTTTTACATCAGACGCTCACTTAGTAGTTAACGATTAGATGATATTTTCTTCATATAATGTATAGTTTATATGTTTTAATAGTAATGTTTGCCTTAAAAAAGAGTAGAAAATAAATAGACAGCCATTTGTTGGACGGATATCTCATACAAAGTGATGACTAGAGCCTTTCCTCTCCCTCTTCTTCCCACTCCGTCTCAGACAAAGTTTTTTGAAGAAAAATTGTTGTCTTTAATGAGATTCGTTTCGCTATGAAAAAAGAGGTGCTGAAAGAGTATCTGTTTTGTTGTCCATATTTTATTTACTCAACAAATGAAAAACTAAAAATAAAATTCTTCTCATAGTCTGAAGAATAAGAAGCAAAAAATGCAATTATTTTATCTATTATTGTCTAAATTAATACTGTTTTTTTTTTGTGATTCATTCAAAGCATAAAGCGATGGCTCAATGAAGGCATTGAATAAATTATTTGTCGGCTAATGAATAATTAATTATAAAAAACTTAAGTTTCTTCAACTCATACTCGAGTTGTCCTTTTTTGGTAGTAATTAATTAGAGATCCAAACAATTTTTCTAATAAACTCCTTATAGATGTGTATATAAAACACAAAACATATATAAAATATAAATAATACTTTATTCTTATGACAAGTTCTTGTCTGCAAGAAATTTACTTAAATTCTCCATATATTTGCCCACATTTTACATATAAAAACAATAACTCTTTTCTGAGCAAAAATTATGTATATTTTTCATAAACAATGATAAGGAGGAAAGATGTTGTGCTCGTAATGTACTGAAAGTGAAGTATAAAATGATGTAAATTCTGTATATTTCTCAACACAAAGAAATAATACATTCAATCATGTCTTAAGACATCAATAATTTTAATTCATTCTCTTCTTTCAGTGAAGAATTCAAACCATTATTTATCTCTAATTTTAATTATTGTTATATTTGAAAAAATCAATTCATTTTAATTAAAAAGAAAATGTTTACCAGAAAAAACACAAACCCATTATATTTACAGTACTTAATGTATTTTTATATGAATAGTAACTCATTTCACAATATTTTTATCATTGCCTAAGTTTTCGCTTCCATTAATTTGAAAGACAAAAATTGATTTTTACAAAAGTAATGTATATTTATATTTTCTTTATTAATATAATAAGTGTTGAGTGTATTTATTAAGACATCAAAACGTCTAAATTTCTTCAACATTTCATTTTCTACAAATGAAAATAAATTTATATTTTTGCTTTTTTTCTGGTCCCGAAATTCTCGATAAGTTTATGGAATTCAGTGAAGTGTTTGATGCGATAATAAGTGAGAAAAATTTCAATACAATATTATATCAAAATATGCTTTTCATATGCTTTCCATCCGTATATTTATAGAGCTTTTCGATCTTCTCTATAGTTTTTGGTTCTTCTCTTTCCCTAACAATAGAAATACGAGAAATGCGTTTAAATTTCAAATTCATTCAATCATTCAAAGCACACATCTGTTCAACATTTTAAATGTGTTTACAATGTTTTGCAAGAATCATCTTTTCTCTGAAAAACCAGAATAAATGTCTATACAATGAAAATGATAATTAAATTCATTAATTGTTAACAAATTTAAGTATTTTCTCTCCTCTATTACTTGGAAACATCGGTTGTTAGATATTATTATTAAGTTTTTATTAGTCGCTGTCTGGAAATTTCAATATTATTTTAATGCTAATTAAAATCAATAATTTTAAATTTATTTTTAGGAAATATTAGTTTATGATATTTTTTTAGAAATTTATGTCATTTTTTATTTTGTTCAAAGAATTTCCAAAATAGGTGTTAGAAAATCGAAAAATGATTGATTGGCTTAATATATAACAGCTTTTTGTAGATGTAATATATCGATAGTTTTTTGAAAGAAATTTATGTCATTTTTTATTTTGTTCAAAGAATTTCCAAAATAGGTGTTAGAAAATCGAAAAATGATTGATTGGCTTAATATATAACAGCTTTTTGTAGATGTAATATATCGATAGTTTTTTGAAAAGTTGCTAAAAATTTCTTTCATAATTATCACAAAATCAGAAATACTTATTCGTTTTGATCCGATATTCAATTTATATCTCATTGAATGATAGTTTCGTTTCTAATTAATTCCGTGCCATTCATTCATTGGATTACATTTTTGTTTTATTAGCAAAATATAGCACTTGTTGTCAATTATACCGGTTTTGATGCCTTAGATCTAATTTGTGTAAAAGGAATCCAATGTTATGAATGTCCGAAAATAATATATATTTTATATGTTTAATAGATTAAGACAAGAAAGTAATAAATACAACCATTAGTTCTGTTGCTTATATTTGCTATGATTTTATACGATATAACTATATATCACTCAATCGATTATTATTTGGACTTCATTTCATTTTTAGTAGAAATATTTTCTTAAAAACCTTATACAGTGTAGAAAATACTACATTTTTAATCTACTTTATAATATAATTTTTTATATAAATTACTGACTTTTAAATCAACAACTGATTAATATTTAATGATTTGCACATAAAATTGTACATTTGGTTTGTTATTAATATTATTTTAAATCTCTATTTTTGTTAAGACTATTTATATATTATACTAAATTTAATTATATTTTGAATAAACAAAATTCTTGAAGATTGTGATCCAAACTTTGATATAAATATAGAGTTCTTATGACTGAGTGCTGTGTTTTGAAGTCAAAGAGAGTGTATTTTTTTGTAATCATTTGTAAGCATAATATCAGTGAAACATTTTGAAGACAACAATCATTAGATTTAAAAATAAAAATTTCTTTTTTATTTACAAATTTTTCTGTGATCTTAAGTCAGTTTATATTTGCAGTTCATCTCTCTCTCTCTCTCTCTCTCTCTCTCTCTCTCTCTCGTCTATTTCATTGTGGTTTCAATTCTTGTTTTATATATAATTATTTTTGATAACATTTTTAATATATAAGATACTGCAGTATATGCTGGAAAATAATGGGAATTTTTTTTATTGTTATTGTTTTCCGTTATATTTTCAGTAAATTATTACATGATATATATTTTAACGATGCGTTACAAACAGTTTTTCCCTCTTTCTTATGGAAGAAATTGTGAATACAATTAAATTTTTGCTACATTTTTGCAGTGAATTTGATGTTTAAGACAATGAGATACAAAACAAAACAACAAAATCATAGCACATAAAGGCATACACTGTATATATAGAAAAAAAGTTTTGTTTGGGATATCTTTTCCTTTAAATGACAGACACTTACATTATTGCCGATCTCTGTGTGCGGTCTTCTCAACACTTTTTCTATTATTTTTTTCTCTCCTATTTTTATACATGTCTTTAGCGCTTAAAGCGTGAATTGTATGACTATTTTCGAGAGA